TAATTTACAGTCATTAGATTTCAACGGACACCTTTGTATAATATATTAACTTTAAAAAAGACTTTTAATTTTACCGGTTTGGAAAGCATACGAATCATTTTTAATGGCTATGGGTGTAGTAACATTCAGTCATTCAATTATTATAGATGGTAGGCGACATCATAAAGTCTATTGCCATACATTTTTCGCCAAACACCTCCATAAACACATTATAATCTGTATATATGTTAGACTTTAAGGTCTAAGGACTTAAGGTAGGATCTATGGGCCTACGTTCCCTGACTATAAATTAATAAATAAATAAAATTATAAGGTGTGATACACTAAAAATCTAAAATATGGTTAAACCAACTTAAAATCATAACAAAAATAATGAAGCTACTGAATATATGGCTATAGAACCTAAATCTCTTGGCTTTCTTAATTCTCTCTAATCTGTGACTCATTTTGTCACAGAGCACCTTATTATAAACGGAAATGACACCCGATTTTAAAAGTTACTCTTATGCATTAACTTTAAAAACAGGCAACTATCTGTTAATCTACATGCTCTATATACCTGAATCTAATCCATAATTTCGGTACTTGGCTTGATTTCCCTAGTTTACTATATAACTTATTTGTTTTTTATTATTTTAATATGTTCAGTGTATATGGTTTATAGAAGTGCTCAGGGGTGTCCGTCAATAATATTCGTTTCTACAGTTATTTATATATAATATCGAATCTAGGAAACAATTTTTCATGATTATTGGTCTTTAGGCCAAACATGTATGGAAGCTGAGCAATCTCCTTTAAGGTTTACTTCACGCCACATATTGTCATTCAAATATTTTATACATTTTATTTATTTTTCGTTAAAAAAACTAAATAATATTAAAATTATATTATTTTGACTTTTTGGACGTTTGATACAAGAAAAAGTTGATCGACCCAAATACATAACAATAAATATTTCCTTCTTCCAAATATCGTACAATAGCACTGATTATGTTCCTGTGATTATTTTAAAATGAAATATTGTGTCATGATAAAGTGCTGAACGTTTAACTGCCGGTTTAACTAAAACCAAATTATCTACTTATTAAAATAGGAAAAACGTTTTAAGAAGAAAAGCTCGGGATTGATAAAGAAAGGCGAAATGCAGTCGACTGTATCCGTAAAGATACAGAAGATCCTGTCGCAGCTACATGATAGTAAGATGATGAAGGACAAGGGAAGCTATAAGAATCTTCTGCGACAAATGAAAGACCTCTACCACACCACCACTACTGGAAGAATCTGCGCCCGGTGCCGTGCATAATAAAATGTACCTATCTGTTCTACCGTCTTAATGTTCATCAATTATGGTTAAATGCTCTCGTTCGTTGGTTTGGTCGAAGACAAAGGTATGTACTCTTAACAACAACATCAATACACTGCATACAGTTTGGGAATAAGGTGGTGATGTATCTAAGCACTGCATGTCGGGTACCTTTATATATGTATATCCAATAAACCTCTTTTTATTTATAAACATTGTAATTTTATTTATGCTAAGGAATATAATGAGCAAACTTCTCTTCAATTTTAAGAATCTCTGTTGAGCTCAAAGTTAGCACAAACAGTAACTTTCAATAGTTTCACAAGTAAGCCAAAGATTTTAGTAATTCTTGGTCTCTGGCGGAATCTGATTTTTTGCTATTTTTTCTGATTCTGAATTGCTAAATTCAGATAGAATTTACCAAAATCATAATAGCAGTAGTCACACTATTATTCTAGTTTGCTTTCAGGATGTCGTTTGGTTGTAATGTAGGTTTGAAAATGCCTCAGAACGCAGTTAGAAAAAGATGATGTTTTAAAGTTATAGATACGTCATACACGCTTCTAGTTTAGCAATACGAAGGTCAGGTAATTGCCTGACTTGCATTCAGTCGGGCAAACTCTCTCGCCGCGGCTACACTTCCCAACAACGTGTAAATATTCAACGTTTTTTCAGCCAAAAAGCCCTATGTGTGTTTTGAGATAGAACACAAAATACATGGGAACTATAAGAGACAAGAAAAACGTGTTATTTCATTCGTAAATACAGTTTTAAGGAAATTAATATTAAAATATTTAGTCATTACAGACAGTCCTCGTACTTACGGCATGTTGGGTTCTCGAAATACGCGACGTGAATCGAAATGACGTAAGTCGAGATAGCCCCACGGACACCGGCCCGACGGATATATACCTCGCGACAAGTGAATTCTCCTTTGCCGTAACTTGACATAACTTGAAACGACGTAAAAGTCGAGGACTGCCCATAGAGATTTTACCCCGACTTTATATGTTATCGTCAGTCCAAGGAATTCCAATTTGGCCGCTACATCTTCGTCTCTAATAATGTCATCATCAGGAAAAAATCTCGCCCCGCTTCCCACACTCAGCACCCCGCGGGCTCGCTAGCAAGAAGGAGCGCATGCTCTATTTAGTAGTATTTTTTAGTATTTTCTTATTATTTTGATTTGACCAAATAATTACTTTCTTTGTTACCCCCGAAGTGAGGCTGATTTACCCCCGGAGGGGTAATTACCCCCAGGTTCGGAACCTAGGCTCTAATGGAAAGAGAAAGAAGATGAGAGAACGCTAGCTTTCTCTCTCTAATCGCGTATGCGCATAGGTAACCGTAAGCATATTACTATTTCGATGTGATGCCATTGGATGCCATGCGTCACGAGAGAGAGAGGTAGCTAGCGGTCTCTCATCTTCTTTCTCTATCTACTAGACGGACACTTTTAGAGCCGCCTTCCCCACTCTATTCTTATACCTCTTTGGGACTGCCTGTACTTATTTTGACAGTTGCTGACACCGTTGACACGGGAAGGCTAAAGAGCGAGATTTGTTTTATGAATGAGAGTGAAAGAGACTACTTTAGTGCGCTCTATTGGCGGCTGTTGCCAATGGAAATTGGGGCGGGGTCTACTTGCGCCATTTTAAAATGCAATAATGTTGGTGTATGACATGTTTGTAAATTATACGTCATTATATCAATCATATTTTGCATGTTAATCCCCTATTTATTGTTTTCACCACTAAAGCTAAGTATACCTTTAGGCCTTTGGTTTGACTGTATAGACTTCAAGCTGCTAATGAAGTCAAGAACTTGGCTCTTCAACAGGACTCTCTCCTGTTCGCGACTGCAAACGCCTTGCGTGAAGACAACGGCAATTGTCGCAATAAACTCTTAACAGTTATTATTTGCTTTTTTTAATATTGGCTTTTCAATGTGCTTCTCTGTATCGTACAATCACTACTACTGCGATATTATTTGTTGTAGTTGTTTTATAATAAACTACACTAACTTTTTAGTTTATTTTTAATTTTGGAACCATTTAACTGCTACATATTTTAAATCTAAAGAAAATTGAAAGAAAAAATTAGACACAGACAATTAGTAGGGTAATAGTCAGTGCGCCCGCCCGGATAGCGGAGGGTGCAGGTTCGAGTCCCGTCTGCTGCCTGGACAGCGTAGATTATTTCCTATTAAAGTATTCTTTAGATTTAAACAAATAGCAATTATATCCTTAAAAATATAACTATAATTGCAAAAATACAACTTTAATAGCTATTTCTTCGTTCAAAATTGTTTAAAACTTGTAAAGGTATTCATTTTAAATTGTGGGTTACCTACAATGCAAAAGAGATGGCGCTGCCTTGCAGCCTAAGAAATAATGGAGAAAATTCGACACGGACAATTAAGGCCGCATAAGCATAATGGTCAGTGCAACCACAGGGATAGCGGAGGGTGCGGATTCGAGTCCCGTCGGCTGCATGGTCCAAGTGGAGATTTTCTAGTAAAAGTTTCTTTAAAAATATTTTATTCACAAAAAGGAGTGTTGTCCCTAAGAAAATAATATAAAGCCCATTTCTTATAAAACAGTTTTTTATATATTTTTTTAAATATTAGTACTCTTAACAGTAAAGTATCTGAACTTTATCTGAAACCTTTTTAATACTCTATGGTTGTGCAAAATGTCAATCGTCTTTCTTGACAAATAAAATCTATTTTTGATCTGAAACAGATTTTGATTTTCCATAGTGCGACGATTTAGTAAAGCTCGCGGGAAGATCCTTGGAGGAAACATCGGCTCAGCTGTTGGCGCTGTACGACTGCAGGATGATGATGAACTATGCATTTGAGGGCGTTAAATTAACAATGTTTCAGTCAGCGGGGAAACCGCGTAACATACTGTAATAAAACACGAAACACCTCTTTCTTGAAGTTGGTTATTTGACAATCACACTTTGATAGCCGATATCTGAAAGATCTCTCTAAACAATAACTAACATGCTTGTCATTATAACAGCAATGCTCAGCAGTGTTAAATAGTTTAAGTTTCTCAAACGAAAATCAACTAATCTCTGATCATTTTGATTTTGCAATTATGAACGTACATGGTGCCAACAAGCAGATAAAATACAATCCTGCTTTGACAACAAGCCTTAATTGAAATGCGTTTCTGTTTTGTGACTTAAATTTTAGTCACTTTTTTGTCAATTATATATGAATTTTGAATTTGACGGCTTCTTAGTTATATTCGGTTCAGATAGTACTGCAAACAAGTACCAAATTACGATAGCCGCGGGAAAATAATTACGCCTCTGGTCCATACGAATTAACCAAATCCCCTTTCCACAACAATAGATCAAGGAATCGATGTGTATAAAAATAGTAAGCTACCGTTATAAGAACTATGAACTGGAAAATAAATAAAAATAATTTAAGTGCAGAAATCTTTTATAAATAATTTCTTCCTATATGTATTTTATTTTTAAGCATTTATCTGCTAGATGTTTATTTGCTCCTTTCAAAGCTGGAAAATTGCAATTTTTTCATGTAAAAATTTTCTTTAGAGATCTGGTAATTGTTAGTAGTATGTTGAAAAGCAGAGACTGTAGCGTTTCATTGCATAACTACGGTTTGATAGTTTCGTTTATACAGAGCACGTGAATGCCTTTATTTATCAGAGTTATCGCTTTATCAAAGAAGCGTTCCACAGTAGCCTTCATTGTGCACAGATTTTTGCTCCTACTCCAGTCATAATATTGTTAATAATTGTAATTACAAAAGCCGACAGTCGAGTCATACAACAAAATGAATCTGGTACAAGATTTGGAAGAGAGTGATCTTTTGAAGGGAAAAGAGAAGGTAATTTTTTTTTATATTTTTGTGACACCACTATTTCATAACATGACAATCAATGAAGTAATCAGCTATTAATAAATGTCGAAATCAATGGTTTGATAAGATATTTGTTTAGGGTAATTTAATTTTTTTTTGTGTACTTGTCTATCTGTAGTTAATTAGAGGCCAGCAAAAGCCATACAAAGAGCAGGAAGGAATCCATGGCTAACCCTTTCAGGTGTGCATAATTACATTGTTAACTTAGAAGTATTAGTGCACGTGGCTAATAATTTTACCTTAATATTATAGTATGTATGTTCTGTCAGAACTTGAATATACTATAATATTAAAAAATATTGCAAAAAATATATTGAATAAATAATATTGCAAAAAAGGATATTTATGTATTTTTTATAAAATATGGTTTTAATTTTTATACTTACATATATACTGATTAAAAACAATCTTTTCAAAATTAGTAATTGTTAAAAGTTTTATTAGCTTTATTTCGTTTCAATAGAAAATTTGGTGAAATGATATTTTTTTTTAAAACGACTCGGATTCGCCTTAAGAGTTCTCCGTTAGATTCGAACACTTGTTTAATTTTTATTTTAGTTTAACCCAGTATTAAAATGTAATCAGAAATATTTTAATTGGATGCGAAAAGTGTAGTACTTAATTTAAAGCAATTTTTCACGCATGTGACCACCACAGAATAAAATATAGCGCGCCGTATGGTATATTACTTGTAACTGTTACATTCAACATATTTATTATTAGGTCCTTAGATATGAAATTGGCGTTTTGTACGGGAGGAATATAAAGTAATTTTTTTTAGTAAAATATATTTAATTAATCATAGTATGCACCGTTGTTATCTATGCATTTTGCCATCTCTTAGGTATTTCATTGATCCCTTTTCTAAAAAAACCCGGGGGGCCGAGAATCAATAAACTCATTGAAGGTGGTTTGGACTGCTGCATCGGAGTTGAATGTTTTTCCTTGTAAAAAGTTGTCCAAATTCCGGAAAAAATGGTAATCTGTTGGAGCAAGGTCCGGGGAGTACGGTGGATGTCGCAGACATTCAAATTGTAGCTCATCTAACTTAGTGGTTGTTTGTTGTGCAGTGTCGATTGACCAATCTCGGTTGTTTAGCAGCTAGTTCTTCCTTCATAGTTTGCAGTTGCTGACAATAGATATCTGCCGTAATCTTTTGGCCAGATTTTAGAAAGCTGCTGTGAACGACGCAGCGCCTGTTCACCAAACACCCACAAGTAACTTTTTCTGAGTCAATTTTGCGTTTAGGGCAGGATTTGGCTGGGTCTCCTGTGTTCAGCCATTGCGACGAGCGCTTTCGATTATCGTACAGTATCCACATTTTATCACAAGTAATGTTTCTATTTAAAATCCCTTCATTATTGTGTCGGTTGAGCAAAGTAACAGTAACACAGTCGACGCGTGTTTGCAAGTTCGATTCACTCAATTCATGAGGTACCCGAGGTTCAAGTTTTTTTACTTTCCCAATTTATTAAGTGGTTTAATATAGTTTTGTCCCTTACCCCGAAGCCTGCAGCTATCTCTGAAGTGCTTTGTGATGGATTCGCTTCCACAATAGTCTTCAATAATATTTCATTTTTCAGTTTGGTCTCCGGCCGTCCACGGGGTTGGTTCTGAAAGTCGAAATTTTCAGAACGAAAACGTTGAAACCAAAAACGTACCGTGCTTTCTTTTGCGACAACAGCGCCGTACACATCATTAATCCTTCGAGCTGTTTCTGCTGCACTGGTGCACGGTAGAACTCGTACTCGTGCATATACCGATATTTCATGTTTTCCATTGCATGGTAATAAGCGACGCCAAAAGAAAAAAATAATGAGGAAAAAAACAAATGGAAAAAAATGTACCAGCTAAATGAATTTATAAATTTGAATTTGGAATTCGTAACAAAGACGCTCGAATTAGCAAGTTGAAGTGGCAGTGGGCTGGTCATATTTGCCGCAGAACCGATAACCATTGGGGTAGACGAGTTCTGGAGTGGAGATCGCGTCTAGGCAAACGTAGTGTAGGATGTCCTCAGGCACGATGGAGTGACGATTTGCCCAAGGTGGCTGGCAGGAGCTGGATGCGAGTAGCCCTAGATCGATCTCTTTTGCTTGCAATTGGAGAGGCCTATGTCCAGCAGTGGACTAATGTAGGCTGTTGATGATGAACTAAAGAGGAGTATAACTTAGTATAATTATTGTGGCATGATGGCAATTCCGCAATTATTGCATCATAACTCTTCAATTTATTAAACTGTATAGTATTGACCACAACTGATAATAAATGTATTTTGTAAATAATATGTTAGAGAATTATCGACTATTGTGTTTTTCACGTAACAAGGAGAGCCAACCAACTTATAGTTCGCCTGATGATAAGTGGCTTCTATAAGAATCACCTCCTGTCGAGCTCCTGGGACATATATAGGGTTTTTCAACAAGAACTTTGTTTTCTAAAACAAAATAAAACAAAAAAAAATAGATGAAAATGATTAAATTTTTTATTGAATTACAAAGAGAAAAGTTCGGCAATTATGTATGAAAAATTATATCTTGCAAATGTCCACCATGAGCACGCTGACAGATGTCGATTCTTTCATTAAAGTTTTTAATCACTGTTTGGCAAAATGGCGGGATTATTTCATTAATCACATCACGGATTTTGAGTTTTAAGGCTGCAATCGATTCGATTGGCCCCGTATACACTCTGTCCTTAACATAACCCCACAAAAAATAATCTAGTGGTGTTAAATCACATGATCTGGCTGGCCCCTTAATAGCTTTAGTTTAGTGAAATTATGCGATCGGGAAATTAGGTTTGCAATAAATTGATCGTTTCATTAGCTGTGTGACATGTGGCGCCGTCCTATTGAAACCACATATCGGTGATATCAACGTCATCAATAGAATATTCTGGATAACCCCAATTGTTGAGAACGTCTCGGAATTGACAAATTGGGATCTCCCTCAACATTGTGGCTCACGGCTGCGATGCTTTCAGTTGAACGACCCGGTCGAACACGCGTTGGTGTTGGCACATTTTGTATCGAGCCTGTCGACTCAAATTTAACGACCAAATTCTTAATAGCGGTCTCAGAAGGACGAATATGTTGTCCGAAAATATCACGAATTTGACAAAAATTAACTGTTAACAGAACCACTATTTTCATAGTGGATTTAAATTATTTTAATTCGATTTTCAAGCGAAATTGAATTCGTTGTAACAATTGCCAATGCATCTACTACAAATACGTCAAAAAACTAAATGTGAAAACGATCATTGTTGGTGTAGCCACAATTGAAAAACAAAGTTCTTGTTGAACAACACAGATGCTTCTTGTATTCTTGATTGGTTTCGATTGGCTTTTCGATTCTCACAATTAAATACCGAAAAGTGGGTATTATTTCTTAAGTTTGATTCCGTTCTTTGCTTGTCATATATGATATTTTCCGCTATTTTTAACAAAACCGTTTTTATATACTCTTTTTTTCATTATTCATATTATTTAAATTTTCTCTGTATTATTTCTCATTCTGACAGGTCAACTTGCGAAAAATCTAGAATTTATGCTTATTACCTACTGAAGAAACTCATTACCTACTCATAATTGCATTTAGAGTCAATCTTAGGAAAGTGCAATTAAAAGTGTAATCAAAATGAAATCATATTTTATGACGTTCATTGTTTTTGAAAGTCTCATTATAAGATTTTACTTGCTTAGAAATAAAATTTCAGTGTGTTTTATTATCATTTTAGGGTCTTTTATAAGTCTTTTCTGAAATAAGATACAGTTAATAGACTTTCTAAAGGTAATCAAATATATCAATTTTCTGTTTTTTTTTTCTTTAACGAATCTGATTAATTTGTAGATAAATTTCGGATACTTATATGCGGAGTAAAATAGGGCACACTATTACAGTTTTTCCTTGTTAATTAGTTTTTCAAATGCTATATTATTATATAGTATTGTTTATTTGTTAATGAAATCATATCTGTGTCCATATTAAAAAAATCATATTCATGACATCCCTGCTACACGTTTTTGCTGAAATTCTATATATTCTAAGTTATGCAATTAACGCAATATAAACCAGTGTGCCATTATTTTTGTCAATGCTTTTTGAAAGTTACCGCGATTTAGAACTGGTTCTACGCCTGTTTTATAGTTTATAAAAAGTATATACAAACTGCAGTATTTTGATTTAATAATCAAAGCTGCAGTATAGCGAATTGGATATACATCATTTCGTCTAAAATCTTTATAGCTTTAGAAGCACTAAGGCCTTATCCCGGGGAACTACTAGGGATTTACTCTATGGCAGTCGCTGACGATCAAGCTGGCCATATGCTTGTTTGCAATCATTGATACATAAAAAATCCTATTTAGCAGGGCCAAGGGAGCTCATAATATTCTCCCCTCCTCTTTCTGTAGAAGTACGAAAAACTTGATACAATGTTTGGTTCTCACTAAATAAAGGCAATCACTTTATTTATCTATTAAATGGACGAGGATAAACTGCAAGTTAGTGTATTATGTAAATGGAGAAATAGTGTTGTGGTCTTGGAATTGCTACCCACTATCGGTTTGTTGCTTAATGATGTTATAGATTCAAAGAAAGGACAATGGGCAAAACACACCCAGCTCCGCCAACAATGTAATTAATATGAATCGATAGATCTATGAAAAACTAGTCTTTTTTATTAGGACACCGTAAAAAATATGACACCGTAAAAATATCCTGGTAGTCAGAAGATATGACACATGGGCATATTTAAGTAGCTAAATAAATTCACTTTATAATACCTTTATTTCATATTATTAGTAACCATAATAAAATGCCATATCGTACTATACAACCAGATATACGACAACGCCTGCCGACCATCCTGCGCTTGTACTTACTGAGCCACCTCAAAACGGTTTACGGGGGTTGAAGGACTTGCAGTTGCAAATAGTCTACTCGTCTTACTTTGTTGTGATT